AAGAAAAAAGTGACGATCGTGCCATGCACGCCATTATATTCTCGAGAAGTGGTAGTGCTGGCATTAAGGTTAGAAGGCGGGCACTGTGGACGCAAGTGGTTATGTTCTGGGTGCAATTTGTCTGATCACGAGCATTCCCCAATGTTTGGAACAAAAGCTTCCCCAGCCGAGATCTCTCGTCAACCTCGACAACCAACGTCACATCAATAGAGCAAGCCGAGTAAAGTACTACCCCCTTCGTAAAGCAGTGCGAGGGACTCGGAGGTGAATGCTCCAACTCGAATGTGGAAGGAGAGACTTGTGAATTGTCCTCCTCCTCTAATGAATCATTACGGGCTCGTAGGAGCATGTCATCCTCTTCGGCCTCGCACATTCGCTGCAGAATCTGAGCCTGGGGGTCAAGCATGAAGTGCGGGTCGTCGGCTTGTGCCTCAGTAAAATTGAGACGTGTAGTGAGGCTCTACATTCGTGCGCTCAGCTGAGCATACCCGAGCTCAATCTGTTCATCTCGGGTTGCTTGAGCTGCCATGCAAGCAAGAATGAGGTCGAGTTTTGCATCGTACGCCAATGTTGTCTCTCGGAGTTCACCCTCGTGAGTAGATATGTGTCCATGGTGAACTCATGAGAAGGATTGTCAACTCGATCCTCTATGGCATGTACGCGCTCCATTAAGCTCTCAACTTGGAACTCCAGATCTCTCTTACGGGCAGCCTGGGATGCCAAAGTATCGATAATCTGATCGAGCTTTGCATTGTAGGCTGCCTCATCTTCTTTGGATTCTATAAAAGCCAAGATCTGGTCGAGCTTCGCATGGTAGACGACCTCTCTTTCTCGAGCTGCTTGGGAATCTATGAACCCAATAATTCGGTCGAGCTTCTCGTTGAACTTAAGGGCCTCATAATTTTGCTCGACTGGAAGATGGTTCCAGCACTGCTCGGAAGAATAAGGGTACGGTTGGGAGTAGTACCCGGGGAAATAGACTGGCTCATTGTTCCAGGAGGGGTCGTGCAGGGAGGAGTACCCGTGATTAAAATTCATTGTACCTGCACACCAGAACAAAACAACCACGCGTAGCCAAGAAAAAGGGAGGAGAAAAGAAGATAAAAACTAAAACAAGAATAGAAGAGAAAAACACAAATGCACAAAAGTAACAAAAACACTAAAAATGCTAAAATAAAGAGAAACACAGAAAATAAGATCAAACACTAAAACTAAATATCCTACTTGCCTTCCCCGGCAACGGCGCCAAACTTGTTGTGTACAAATTGTTATTTTTACCGAGTACCGAATCAAAAGATTCTTTCCCCGGGTCGATCTCACGAGGAAGGTTGTTCGGAATTCAGCTTTGGTATCGATCATACATAAAAAGAAAATAAAACCTAAACACTCTAATCAAATAGGGGGGAAAAATTACCAACTAAGAAATAATATAAAAACAAATAATCTACCTAAAATATAAACGAAACAAAGATGGAAAAGCTAGGGAATCGGGGATAATTAATCCAAGTTCTAGCAAAGTCGGGATATTAATTGCTCTATTCTAGATTGACACTCTCGCTTAAACATCTAGCGGTTCGCTCTCAATAACTCTTCGTAACAAGGGATTGAACATAGACGAGCAAGCTCGAGCATACAATACATGCCAATTATCCCAATCCCAATAACTTTTCGTAACAAGGGACGGGTCATCGACAAACACGTATTTCAATCCAAAACCTATAGACTATTCATTTATGAAATCATCTACCTCATGTGAGCCTAGGTCTATGACTTATCCCCTTTCGGTTCTAACAGTCGCTAATTCAATTAGAAGGTGTTTAATCAACTAATCATTCAGAATCATCAAGCCCCGACTCGACAAATTAACATTCAATTGTCACCAATTGCAAGACCGAAGTGTCACTCTTCGATTATATCAATCAATCGAACAAGAATTCAACAATTCTGAATTAAATCAACTCACACAAGAATGAACAAATCAAGTCCGACAAATACACGTTAAACAAGAACAATCATCCCATATCCCTAGCAATCGAATTTAGCTACGCATAATGAATTCAACACAAAGCACCATATCAACATATATCATCAATCCCATAGATTAAACGACAATTAATGCTTAGGATTAATATAGAAGTCAAGGTCAAATCCAAAGCACAGCAAACCCAAAAACAAGAAACAAACCTTGAAGTGTCACTCTCCAAGATCAATCCATGATGAAGATTCAAGTGTTTTAGGGTGAAAAACTGATAAAAGTGAGTTTTGAGGTGTTTTTTCGGTGCTGGGAACGAGTCCCAATGAAAGGCCTTTAAAAAATCGAGAAAAAACGAGATTTATAAAATCTGGTCGCGCAGGGGTTAGCGCCGCTAAGGTCTAGGCTGCGCCACTTTGCGTTTTGGGCTCGTTTGAGCTCGTTCCAACTCGGAATTGAGTGTCGTTTTTTTTCCAACGCGTAGCCAACGAACCCCTCTACTCAATTATACTCTTGAAACCAACTTTTACTGAAGAGAAAATTCGTCCGAAGCTCCCGACCTACACACCAGAAACAACAAAACACAAAAAAAAAAAGACCGGAGAAACAAACGAAAAACCTTTAAAGACTCAAATGAACGAAAACACATAATAAAACACGAAACGGACTAAAAAAGAAAGAAATAACCTAAAACGGGAGAAAAAGAAAAGCAAAACGAGCACAAAAAATGCAACAAAAATGGGACAAACATCGCCATTGGTGGCAGGTTGGACAATAATGTCCATTAATTGAGAATCATTGAGACAATCATCCCCTATGCCCAAGTCCTCACCTATCATAATCCCCTCCCCCAAATTTCCACTATGTTCCAAGCATTGCAACATTGGAAATTTTGGGACTCAAGATCAAGTTCCGACTACCAGGATTTTTACAACTTTTATCTTGAGTACTGCCCCATCTACCTAATCCACTACTCTCAGGATCTTTCATCCTATATCTAAGACCATCACTATCAGTGTGAGAACTACCACCTGCAAAGGTATTGCCACTCCTAGATTCTAAAAAGCTGCTAGATGCAGCTTTCAACCAGTCACCATTTTTCCCATGATTGACAACCACTCTATTCACATCCTCTTTTTTGGTAGCACAATTCCAATCACTATGCCCGATCTTACCACAGTGTAACAAAAGGATTGAAGATGCTCATAGCTAAAATCTACCCACTTACAGTCAGGACCCAATTTGATTTTGGCCCCACTTGGGATCGGTTCATATAAGTTCAATTCCACTAGAGATTTCACAATCTGGCCCTCCCAATTTCCCCTGACGGGACGAGCACATCAAAAACCCTACCCACCAAACGACCTATTTTCGAACCTGTTTTTTGGGCCACCTACTGAAGAGGAATGTTATGGATTTTCATCCACACCTTGTTTTTTTCCTCCTCCTCTACAAAGTCAATTTGGCCGGGCGCTCACTTTTTTAGTAGTGTATACTGATTATCAAACGACCAAGTCTTACCGCTGAGAATTTTTTTAAGATCCTCAATCGACTTAAACAACAATTTGAAAAAGGTTAAAGCCTATACATCTAATAGAAAAACTGGAGCCTGGTTCGTTTCCCACAGTGGCTTTGAGGTCACTGAAATTGACTTTTTTTTTTTCTCACCATAAACTTTACCAATGAGGCTCAATTTACACGCTTGGAGGGTTGAGGCTATATCAACCTCATCTAGTTCCACCCCCGATTCTTCTTTTTCTGATAAAACAAATTTTTAAAGTTTTTCGACTAGGCCATTCTCCATATTCTATCCCTAACCCTAACACAAGATAGACGAAACCAGAATAGGCCCGAATCCCACCCAAAAACTAAGCCCAACACCACACCCCAGAGCCCTAAGACCTAACCAACAAATCTCGACCCACGAAGATGCAATGATACAAAACGACTAACCCAGACTCGATCTACACTCCAAACCTACCCCACCCAAACGCTGATAAACAATCTATAGAAGAGAAAGAAGAAACCAAAGAAGAAGAGAAAACAATCGACGGGAAAAGGAAAGGAGAACACGAAAAAAGCAATGATAAATTGCAGAAACCCCAACCCCAAAACTCACAAGGAGAACTGCACTCTAGAGAGAGAAAAACTCCATAAAGGAAACTAAAAACATATGTAGATATCACTAGGGGCGAATTTTCGTTTGCATTTCTGTACTTGATTCAATAAGCTTGTTCGGTTCAAAGAGGAAAAGTTAAGGATAGAAAAAGAAAGAGAAGACCTTATGTGCTCATACTTTCGATATGTTCTGAAGGACATGAAAATCCATTTGCCGTCCAAATATGATAACTCATACCCGTTGTCAAAGAAATAGTTAGTGGCTAGTCAATTGGCAACCTTTTTTTTTTTTTT